GAACTTTTTCAGGGTCAGACCTGTATGTCTGCTAACACTGGCTCTCCAGTTTTCTTATTGTTCCTGCAATACACAAGCTGAAGACTGCAAACATCAGTGTTTTGAGGAAAGCTGGATAATACCAATCTCTGGGCAAAGAACAGTAAGGTAAATATGGCTTGTATCTATAGTATAGTTGCATATATTCTAGTTTTTTAAAAAAAATCTTAGGAAAAAAGTACAGAGAGAATTCAGAATAATTTAAGAAGAGGTGAGATGCAAGTACATCTCTTCTAATGGGTTCTGAGTCCTTAATAGTCAAACCTTGGCAGTGAACATATTGCAGAAGAACTATTCCTTCTGTACGTTAGGCACGTATGGGACCTTTCAGACCATCTCATCTAACACCCTCATGATGCAGACCAGGAATCTGAGGCCAAGAGAGAAAGCGGATTTCATGTTGGAGGAACAGAGTTTAGGTGACAAATGTGGCTTCACAGATCCTGGTTCAATGCTATTTCTAATCCTGAGAAGAGAGTGTAACAAATAGATGGGTAAGATTAAGATAGAAAAGAAAAAAGCATTAAAAAAAAGAAAAGAAACCAAAGTCTAGAAAGGGAAGAGGTACAGGAGAGAAAGAAGAAAAGAACAAGAAGGGAGAATAGGGCTTTCAAGCCTTTGCTAACCATAAGAGCAAACTTGAAAGTAGAGAATATAAGGTCTCCAATGTAAACTGGTCCTCTAAAATTAGCACCTTAAGTTATATAGAGTTTGGTTTTTCTAGTCTGCTTAGAAATTTAATTTCTAGAAAGAGAAGGCAATGTGGCAGAATGGTCCCTCAGGAGTTGGGAAGGATGCAGTCTCTACTTTTCTACTCTTTGATGCCAAATTCAATACATGCCTTTCATCTGAATTCTTGTTTTGTTTCCTCATTGGAGAATAAATGACAATGAACAGGTGGAAATATCCATAGTTGTCTGGAGGTTCCTTTCTGAATATTTATTGAACTTCAGTTGCCCTTGAGATATCACCAAAGAAAATGCTAAATATACACTAGCAACTTAGAGACCCACAACCTCCTGCATTTCATAGAAAGGCCCAGAAAGAATGTGTAACTAGCCCAAAGTGCCCTAGCTAAGAAGAACATATTTGTTATCTGATGTGGTGTAACAATGCACCCAAACACATAGTGGATGAAGTAGTTACCAAAAAAAAAAAAAAAAAAAAAAAAAAGTCTGCCAATAGTACTTTTATTCCTGTGCATACATGGTGCCCCTCAAATCAGAAGGCAGTCTATTTCCTCTCCTTTTGAATCTGGTGGTGGTGACTTGCTTTGACCAATAGAATGAAGCAGAAATATTAGTTCTAGAACTTTCAAACTCAGTCCTTAAGAGGACTACCAGTTTCCATTCTTCCCTCTTAGAAACCTGATGCCATAGAATAAGTCTGATTACCTTGCTGGATGGAAGCCCAAATCAGCCACATGGAAAGAAAGGGGTCATATGGAGGAAAATTGAGATGCCTGGTGTGAAATGAAGGTTTCTTGGACCTTCCAGCTCAGTCCACCTGCCAGTGGCCATCTGAGTGCAGTCAAATGAGTGACCTTAGCCAATCTGCAAAGGAGTTTAGTTGACCCACAGAGTCATGAGAAATAATAAATGTTATTTTTGGCTACTAAGTTTTGGGATCGTTTGTTACGCAGCAATTGATAACTGAAGCAGTAGCTTCAAACAGCAACCATCCATTATTTCTCATCATACATGAATTAGGTGGGTGGTTCTGTGAATCCTATGAATTCTGTGAATTAGGTGGATGGTTCTGGTGATCTAGACCAAGTCTGATCAATCTCATTTGGACTTGCTTGGGCCTCTGCAGTCAACCGAGTGTTGACTGCTCAAGGATGGTCTCAGATGTGTGTGATGACTCAGTTTGGCTCCACAGGGTATTTCATCCTCCAGCAGGCTTGTTCTCCCAGTGATATCAGAATTCCAAGAGTGAGAACAGAAATGCATGAATATTTTTCAGTCCTTCATTTACATCAAGTCTGCCATTGTGGTTGAGCCTAGAATGGGAGGGGACCACAAAATCAGAGGAAAAGACTCCGGATAAAGAGAGGTCATTTATTGGAGGCCAATAGCACTATCGAATCTATTAATACAAAAAACTCATGCATGTTTTTCACAGTTGGGGGAGTATTAAATAGCATTATTAAGATTTTGGACTGAGATCTGGCATCAATGGAAAAACTTACATTTGAAATTAAGTACAGTAATTAGATGAGTATTTTCTGAATTTTAAGTAGATTTCCAGATTTTCTAGCCAAGTCATTGTTGCTAGTAATATTGAAGTTGTTTTATTTCCAATAGAGAATGACTTTCCCAAATTCCTGTTGCTAGAGTTAAGAACAGAATCAAGAAGAAATATCAGATCTCACACTACATGGCCTTTCATTCCATTAATTCACAGCAATGATGCAATCTTAAGGCTCTCTATAGAGTTCCTTAGAATCCTGGGTAATAGAGTTAGTTCTTAAATAGCCAATGAGTAGTCTGCGTTGTGACTTCTCTCTAGAACCTAGGGCTATTTCCATTTGTGCTTTACAGAAGGAAGTCAGACACTTTAATGGGAAAAAAAGGCTGTGTGAACATACACACATATTTGGGCATTTATATGTAATGGGTATGCCCACTTCTGATCTACTGTCATTTAAGTTTGGTTTTACCTGTCTCTGCCTCTCCTACATTACCAGGAACTGACTTTGAATTTTCAGTTATCACCACCTATCGGAAGCAAATTCGCTTTCCATTCTAAATTTCAGAGCCTAAGTATGAGCAGGAAAGCAGAGACGGGGATTACCACTCCCAGAGCTCAGCTAGCTTGCTAGTTCCAGCAGTGAGATGCTGCCCCCTACACAGTGACTCACACCAGCCAGATGAACAGTTCCTTGGTCTGTTCCTCCGTCCTCCACTGCCAGTCTGTCGACCCCATCTTGAACTTTGTTAACACAATGTTTCTGTTATTTATTGTTCAGGAATTGGGAGTCAAGGAAACCGTGCTCTGGTCTTAGGGCCACTTTGTCTTGGGGCCTTAGTTTTCGCATCTGTGAAGCGCAAAAGCTGCACTAGATGTGTGTCCCCACTCTGTGAGCTTTGAAGAGTCTAGGATGACAGAATAAAACCAGACACAAGTCACAGGATACTAAACAAACGATGCCTTAAATCTCTCAGTAATGGCCAGACACATCTGGAAGAAGCAGGCTGTGAAAACAGCTGAAGAAAAATAGATACACGTTTTACTCGTCCATTATGCCTCAGTAACACTGAAAAAAAGAAGAACCGGTATTTGTGTTATCAAGGAATCAGTGCTTGACTCCAGGCTGATGACTAAACCAAAACAAACCCACACAAGGTGGGGAGTGAGAGATACATAGAGATTCTAAAACTAAAAAGAGGCGTTCATTTGCAGAGAACTAAGGGGGTATCCTGTCAAACACAAGTTCACTTTGGTTCGCCAAGACAGGGAGATCTGAGGATAAGGATCATCCAAGGCTGGCCTTCCCCGGACAGACTGTATCCCTGGGTTTCCATCAGGGTTCGTTTTGTTAACGAAGGGTAAGGTGAAGGAAGTCATGAGGCTGAGAAATACCACTCACTTCGATTCGGCTGAGAGGGATTCCCATCTCTCTGTTCCTATGAAGTGGATCTGGCTTTAGCCTCCATGACAGCTCGTTCCCTCAGGAGTCCTTTAGCTCTGGCCCCTACGTGCTTGGCAACTGACATCAGGTGCGATTACAGGCACCCCCAGTGCTGCCAGTAGGATTGGGCCCCCTCCCCAGCACAGTCTTTCCGCGCGTGACGCCCCCCAGCCTTCTCTCTCCTGGGACCTCCTCGCCAGCCTACCCCTACCTGTTGGGTAGGTCTTACTTCCTGAGAACACCTGCTGTCCTCAGAAGGGGAGCAACCGCCACCGCCGCCCTGGAATCGTGGCCTGTCCCTTCCTGGGGAAGGGGGCGCCTGCGCTTGGGCGCGGACTTCGCCGCCACCAGAGTCCGGCGAGCGGGCGGGCGACCAGGCGTAGCCGAGTTCAGCGGCTTGAGGAAGGGGACGCCCTATCCCAAACACAGCCCGGTGTGCGGGGCCTCAGGATTCCGAGCACAGCCGGGAGCCCCTGGCTAGCCCTGGAGCCTTGGAGGAACCCGCGGGTTCCAGGGGCCCGCCCGAAGCCCGTTCTCCGTCCTGGGCCCGCGGCGGCGGGACGGGGCGCCCGGTCCGACCGCGGCGGAGACTCGCGCCGCCGCCGGTGCTGCAAGCCGGTCTGGCTTCCCTGCAGGGCGTGCGGGGATGGAGCGAGGGGGTGGAGAGAAAAGGGGAAG